GTGGGATAGGTGAGTGGTTTTGGGAGGTAAGCATTGAGCATCACCACAATGGGTTGCATTAGCCTATCATCAGAAAATTCATGCTATCTTTTGTGCTTTGGAGGATTAGAGGTAGAATGAGGGGTGAAGCAAGATTCATAGGACAGAGTAGTGTTCATACAAGGCTGGCCAACATCACATAACCTAACATTACAGTGAAGGTCTGGGGCTAGGAGCACAAATACCCAAACACATCCATTAGGTGGCCATCGGGACTCTCAAGCACCCAGTGACTAGTGAGTGGTGTTAACATTCGGGGGGAAAACAGGAGAATTCCCCAAGAAGTCCGACTAGTAGCTCACTTAGCAGTGAATGTCTCTCAGGGGCTGCAGGCATCCATGTTGTGATGTGTTACTATGACAAAAGTCCTGTGTGGCTTTAGTGCAGGTAGTGAAACCAAACCTGCCATCTCTTCCAGGCTCAGAATAGCCACTGCCAGAGTCACAAGCCCCAAGAACACACACGACTGTGTGCATTTGCTGTGAAGAAGGCATTCAGTGTCTATATGACTTGGAGTCGAGACGGAGAGTGGTTCTTATCTCACCCCATCCAAGAGCACTGGAACAGACTTCTTTGTTATTCTGAAGTTTTTTTTATCCTTTTCTACACACATCTGCCTTCCTCATGACAACTTTTTGTGTGCAAGAAAACACAAAGGAAATGGTTGTTAGCAGCCTGAGAGGAGACAACGACCTTCATTTTACTGTGTTCTTTATCACCCCAAATCCTTGAATTAAGTGACGTTTCACATGGGAAGAAGATTTCCATTGGTTTCTATTAAGTTTCATACAGGGGAAAATTGCCTTTGATTGACTCTCTTTTCTGTGGGGGTACCCCTCCCCCCCTTTCTGGCCCAAGCATGCTTAAAAAGTGTCCTCCAAGGTTCTTTGTCTGGGGTTGAGCTGCTCACCCTCCCTCCCCACCTCCTACCTCCAGCTCTGTGACAGGGATTGCGACACAGCCTAAGAGTAAAAACCCCATGTCCTTGAGAATACGAGAGTAAATTGTTAAAGCAAAAACCTGTGTCCTTAAGCACAGCTGGGAGATAAATCCTGGGCATCTTTTCGAGATCAAAGGACTTTGCTGCTTATCCCGACAGGAGCCCAGCTGTTGAAAGTTCGACTCCCAACCAAAAACTCCAGACGACTGCCTCAGCTTTCCTGGTTGTTTTTTTCCTGTATGCAAGCCCGTGTAATCTTTATGATGCTAATTGTTCTTATCCTAAGGTACACTCCCCTGTGCTCCGAGTACTCTGTTCTCTTTTTTGAGAACCCCAACACACTGCTTTAATGGAGCTGCCTTAGATTTCTGTTGAATGTTTTGAGTACCTGATTTGGTGACATTTATTTGTCAGTTTGTCTGTCTGTGTTTGTCTGTCTGTGTTTCTCCCTTCTCTCCACATGCTCCCCAAAGGTGAACGCGCGCATCTTAGTAGATGTGCCTTGTATTTGAAATTCCTTCCCTGCCTCAGTGCCTGAGGTGGGAGGCGGCCCCATCTACCAGAAAATATTTAAAGAAAGAGACAGGCAAATGTGTCCATTGTAAGCTTTTTCTTTTTTAGAATTTAAGCTTATGAGTACCTATGCCCACTATATTCATAATTACAATTTAATATCTGCATACAAAAGCTATGTAAAAATCCATTTTCCCAAATATACAAATTTTCTTTTTGGATAGTTTAAAACATTTGATCACAGATTTCAACAATTTTAGGCTGAAAAAAAAATATTACCAATCCAGCAACAGCAGTATCAACTTAACACTGTTTGCAAAACACAAATCTTCCACTGACTGTTAATCTCTCTATTCCATCCGTTCCTTTTTTGTTTTTGTTTTCTGATTTTCAGGGCATGAAAACATTATGAGAAAAAAGAATGGTCTTCTCTGAAGAAAACATGGAGAACTACTTTGGCTATTTGATGTCAAGCGAAAGATACCAAAGTCACAAAGAACAGCGAAAGGGAGGCGGCGGCACAAGGCCACGTGAGTGCGCATGCGCCCTGATCATCTCAGTCAGCAGCGCAGCGCATGCCTACAATCTCTTCTTTGCTTCACATTGTGCTCTGTTGAGTATTGTCTGTGTCCTCAGAGGAAAGACTCACATCTGATTGTCTTGTGCATAAGGTGGGGTCAGTTTGAGCTATGCCACAGAAAGCCACAAACAGTGTTTACTGCACAATATTGCTCCTGAAGGCGGCACGAATTAATGTGGAAACACACTAAAAATGTGTAATCTTTTTCATTTGCAAACATTTATACAATACAGTAAAAATTCTGTGATAAGGCCAAACCTTTTTTCTCCCTAGTCTTTTTTTTTTATATGTATATATTTTTATAGTCTTTTTTTTCTTTTAAAGATTAAAGTAAAATGTTTCAATTGTAAAAAATACACACCGGGCAAATCCTTACCTGGATAATAAATATCTACATCACAGTACAATAAAATTTCTTCTCTATAAAATTTAAATATGGATCAGTCTATCACTATCAAAAGAAACACTATGCTAATATTTCCATATTATTAAAATAATAGGAAAATTATGAGCTTATTTTAGGACCTGATGCCATCGCCACTGCAAGGGGCAGAGATTCAATTGTCTGTCATCTCTCATTGGAGGAGGACTGGTAGTTTGGTTATTCACTTAAATTAAGTTCATGAAAAAGGTTTAGCCTTACAAAACGCTGGCTACATCTCAAAAACCATAAGACTGATTTCATAATTTATGACTCATGCAGCAAAGGGTCAATATGACATGGATAGGTTTGAGTTCCACAGAATGAGGAGGTCTTAGTGACAACGAAGTACTCTGAAGAGGCTCAGCAGGTCATGAGGCTGGCTTGGGGAGAGCTGAGTGTGAGAAGGCCAAGGCGGCACCAGCCTGCAGGCCACTGTGAGAAGGACGCTGCAGAGCAGAGCCAGCCTGGCCCTCCCCAAGATTGCACTGGGACAGAGGTGGCTGCAGCCACAGGCAGGGGATGCGCTTGGCTGAGGCTTCATCACATAAGCACATCACTGAGGCTCAAGAGACTAGAAAAAGCTCAGAGGCGGCACATGGTGTTTTCAGCAGAATCATTGAGAAGTTTTTTTTTTTCTTCCAGTTTCTGGAAGTTCTGCACATTTAAACTGAAGTGCAAAGTACACTTGCGGCAACGAACAGATGTACGAACATGTGTACAAACGCACATGTCTGCTGCATGTGCACAGCCTTCTTGTCCATAAATACCATTTGTAAGTGAGCATCCGGGCAGGATGAGCGCGCTCTCCTTGCCTGGAATGTCTCCCCACAGTGGAGCAGGTGTAAAGGTTCTCGCCACCACGTCCACACTTGATTTGAAAGTCTAGACAAGATTAGAAGACAATGACTTTTAAAAAGAGAAGAAAAAAATTTGGGAGCAAACCCCTCACAATCTAGTTTCACAAAATGAGTTTCTCGAAGGCGTGCCTTTGGCTATCCTGACCTCCTACCATTCTGGTTCCTTCCCACCAGAAGACTGAAGCTTGCATGTCTTGTTCAGTCCTCAGCCTTCAACGTGCTTGCTGGAGCTGGGTCTGCCCCTGAAAGGTGAGCCTCCGTGCTGTGACTGGGTGGATAGTGAGGGCTGGGCTAATGCCCAGTGTTTAATCCTTACAGCACTCTGAATGACCCTGGCTCAAATCTTGCACTAATGCCAGGGTTTCTGATGCTCTTTGAAAACCATCAGAATCAGGAAACTTCCTTAGAAATTCTGGCATCCTAGAAGTTTGTGTGCCTGTGCAGGGCTCACCTGCCTGCTTCCCTCTCCCTCTCTGGAAGGAGAACTGGTTTCACAGCAAGTTTGTTTTTATTGTCTGGACAGTGGTGTTCCAGGAGAGCTGACATAGGAAACAGATGTTTACTGAAGTTCCTGAGGGAGGAGGCTGGATACCAGCTGCCTGGGAAAGCTAACCTCTGACAGATGTTTTAACAGGAGTCTATGGGGCTTCTTGCTTGGATCTAATCTCTACACTAAGTACACAGTGATGTTTTATCTGAGAAGTCAGGCTAAATCCTTTAGTGCACAAACCATTGCTTCTTCCGGTATTTCCACGTCTCTTGGGACTTTCAGTACTATGCCTTTGTACTTCTGAGGCTATTCTGCCTTCCTCTGAATCAAATTCTCATTCTCACTCAAATTGAGCACCCAAATACATTCCTTTTTGAAGCTATAAATTTGAATATAAAAGGAATCTTTCAAAGACACCCCCTCCCTTTCCTGGAAAGTCAAACAATAGGGAAGGTAAGAGGGGTTTTTGGAGATCTACTCTTTTACCAGGAGGTAAGAAAACTGAAACTGTAAGGTCCTAAATTACCCAGGCTGCAGAGCACAAACTAGAACTCAGGTACCCTGACTTCCAGTGAGGCCAAAGATGCTCCACCAAGCCCAGTGGAAAGAAGTGAGTTTCCTTGCTTTTCACAGTGACTTCCTTTGCTTTTAGGTAATTCTCGCTAATATGGCTTGTTTTTCCCAGCATTTCCAGGCTAAGGCAGTGAAAGGCAGGCAAGGAATAGTTCACATCTGTGATGTCAGTGAAGAGTCGGTACATTCAGTTGCATGGGTACAGTCTTTGCCCATTTTTGAGTAAGTTGTCGTTACTTGTTGTTTAGAAACATCTCTGCATGGTCACTGGGAATAGGCCGGGCAGCAGTTTATGGTGTTTCCTATGCATGGTCTGCTGTGTTTTATTAGGAATATTTGCCAGGATAATGGTGTGTAAGCTACAGAAGAGTTAGTGAAGAGAAAGAGAGAGAGAGAGAGAGAGAGAGAGAGAGAGAGAGAGAGAGAG